AGGTAAATTTGATTAACATTATTCTCAAACCCCTATCACTCTCCACCAGCCTTTCTTCTAGTGGCCAGGGTAGGTATTGCAAGTATTTCAGCTTGTGGTCTTCAGCAGGACAAGTTACTGAAAAAAAAACACACTTGGTTTGGCCTAAATAAATGTCAAGAACGTAGCCCCATTTATGACCTTAAATAAATAAATATTCTGACTTTTGGGGACTATTTTGTCAAAGATTTCTTTGTTCCCTTGAAGTATAATGAAGAAATGCTTTTGGACTTAAAGAGGTATATTGTAACCTTTATGCATATTGTTATAGACAGAATACAGAATAAGATGCTGGAAAGAAGATTGGTGTATATATGACAGTTATCATAGTGTGTGTTTATAGTTTTGGGAAAGAGAGTATGTGTTCTCTTACAGAAATGTACAATGTTTTTGGACATGGTACCATGGTATTTTTTAAGTAGCTTGAATGACCAAGTTACTGTTTAAGCATTTTATAACCAATTTAAATAATGTATTTCATCTGTGAACTCATGTTCAGCTATTCATTTCAATAGTTATCTTTTAACTAGGCCTTTTAAGTTTTATTCGGATCGTCAGTAATCAAAGCTCAGTAAATATTGGTCACAGACACAAGATGGATGGATGGTGTGCCGCAAGATGGCTGTGCTGTTGAGAGCTCGCAAATTCTACAGATTTTTGTGTTTTTTCACAGTTTTTGTAAATCTTTTGGCTAATGTCTCTCCTTCAATCATTCAATATGATCGACAAACGCTTTTGGACATCAGATTAGGGCTGAACGATTAATTGCATTTGCGATAATATCACGATGTGAAAAAACTTGATTTTTCCATCGCAGAGGCTGCGGTTACACTCGGTCACGTGACACGCGAGAGTAAAGAGGTGTGTTCGACTTGAAGGGGGGGGTATTTTACCCCCTGGAACGTAATATTTACCGGTGGACCCCCCTCGAAACGTGATTGGGCTAGTTTTGAGTAGCAATTTGGCGGGTTTTGTTGTGAAAACCTGGCAACCCTGGCATAAATTTAATTTTCTACTTATTAGATTGTGTTTTATTAGCGTCTATTACAAGAATGAAAAAATAGTAATTACTGTTGTACAGTGTGACAAAAATTACGCTGTATTGATGTGCGCATGCCCTGTAGCCGCAGCTGCATCCCTTCTAGCCTTAACCTATATATGAACGTACTTCAAAATGGCACATTGAAATTACTCAAGCAGTAACAGTGTTACGGTGTATTTCATTTCTGAAGACTTCAACCTTAAGATAATATATATAAGAAGGTAAAATATGTATTCTTATTTATTTATTTAAAGTCTGTCTAAAGTTAACAGTGTTTAAAAAGTGCAGTTGTTTACATGTGTTTTATTACAGTGAATTTGAATTACCTAAAGTAGTGTAGTAAAGCAACAGATTGTTTTTATATTTCTGCAATCTACTTTAGTTTGTGTGATTTGTTACTGACTTTCATATTAATGTTTGCATCAGGCTTATTTGTCAGTGCTTTATGTTGTCATAATTATTACATGCTTACAAGGTCGGAAGTTCAACAAATCAGTCAATATACTGTGATTGTAGTTGTTAAATAAAAATGTTATTCATATCTTCATGCATCACCTAATTTCATCGTAACATATAGGACTGGCCTACAGAAAAGAACATTTGTTTAATCTATCTAATATTGTGTTGGTCATACTATACAATGATTTATAGCTTGTCTTTTTGAATAATAAAGAACATAAAGAGCTTTTAAAAAATAATTGCATATTAAATCGCAATATTGGTAAAAAAAATCGCAATTAGATTATTTCCCCAAATCGTTCAGCCCTACATCCGATCGTCGCGCAAATCGGACTTTATAAACAACTTTTACATGGATTTGAACGGCAGCAACCCCTTTGATGAGTATCTACCTCCGTGTACACTCGCACCACAGTAAGCGAAAAAAGCGCAAGAGAGGCAATTGTGCCGGGATTCTGTGCGTAATGCGGAAAAGGGCTTTTAATCCCCCTCTTCCGAGTATTCTTCTGGCAAATGTTCAGTCGCTGGTCAATAAAAGGGACGAACTAAATGCTCGGATATGGTTTCAGTGAGACATCGGGAACTGTTGTGCTCTTGCTTTCACTGAGACATGGCTAGACGAGACCGTTCCGGACAGCGGTGTTTCGCCTCCCGGTTTTACCATCCATCGGCAGGATAGAACAACAGACTCTGGTAAGAGTAAAGGCGGCGGTGTGTGTGTTATGGTGAACTCTCTTTGGGGAACAGATGTTTCATTTACAAAAAGTGCTTTCGTAGAAAGGGACCTGATATTCAATAAGCCAAGCTTTATCATTTGTTTATCCGTATTGCATCTGTTTTTTATTTGTTGAACATCAATTAAATTGTTACTCTTAAACTGGTTTGGACGTTTTTTGTATTTTCTAGTTTGGGGAACAGACACAGTCTCTATAGTGTGATATCTAGATGAAAGGGTCTCTATGTGCTGAGAATTAACTGATTTCTGTGACGTGAGGAGTGCCGCAGATCTACAATGCTAAACTTGAACACCTCCCCCATATTTATGGACAGGTTGTGAAGCACCTAATTTTTCACAGGTATTATTACCTATTGCATTGTTTAAATGTCACAAAGAAACAGATGTAGTGACAGTTTTTCTATTTTCTAATAGTAAATTATTTTCGAATTATAAAAATTGTAGGGTGGGGACATATCTTTTGGTTGAGATGTGGGCGTTGCACATCAGTGTTCCCTCTACTTTTTTCTTGCTGAGCAATTGGGTGGAGATTTTGGCTTCTTGAGCAAAACCTTAATTTATACTAGATCTGTACAGCATGCACACAAGAAAGTGGATACAACAGGCAGTTGTAACATTTAACTTTAATAGCTTGAACCTCCATAGCTTGATGTTAAATTCTGCTGTAGCTTAATGTTTAAGAAAACAAGCATTTAATAAGTCTCAAAATGAAGAACATTTTAGGTTACCTGAGAAAACCATTTTTACAGTGCTGTGTTAACTGTACCAGTCATTATCAAGAAATAACATGCTAGTCACTTGCTAAGCATGCTAGAAACATGCTGGTCAAATTCTAATCTAATACAAATGTGTTTTTCTGCTTTATTACAATTTATAGATCAGAAGGCATAAAAACAATTTAATGAAACTAATGTCTCATTGTAATCGAAAAGATGATTGATTCTCGTGCCGCTTTGAGGCGAATACCGCCATCTGTCATGTCACATTAAAGAGCACGAAAAACATATTATTGTAAGACATATTGTCTGTATTTTCGCTATAAAACTGACAGAATTTGAAAGCTGAGACTTTGTTTTATATTAAAAGTACCAAAAGCACAAAGCTTAATGCTATTATTGGGGAAGACGTGAAATATTATTTCCAAGCATACTGTCCCTGCTGTGAGTATATGACATTTCTGCTAATAATCCAACATATATTCAAATCCAATCTGGGCCATTTGCATGCGCAATACTCTGAAAATTTTATAACTTTAATCTCATAAATGCTACGACTTAATTCTTGTAATTTTGACTTTATTCTCAAAATATATATCTACTTTATTCTCGTATTGCAACAACTTAATTCTCATTATTTTGATTTTTATCTCAAAATATCAGTTTTTTTTAACATGGCACTAAAACGCCATCGCACATAATGCTACAACTTTATTCTCAAAATATTATGACTTTAATCTTGTAATCTTATTTCTTTATTAATTTTTTACTTTATTTGATTTTTTAATTTTACGTGGCACCAAAACGCCATCGTAGATCTTGTCTTGGTGTTTACTGCAGAATGTTGTTCTTTGCGCCATCTGGTGGATAGTGTGTGAAGCACAACAATGTTTTTAACAATCTGAACCCGCGCCTGCAGGGAGCTCTGTGAGCACGCGTGACGAATTGCGTGCTGCCGGGAGAAAAAGCAAACATTCTTAATGGCCACATCTGTAAGTCTCTTTGGATAATTGATGAATAAATGTAGAGAACATAGACATAATTGTAACCGGCTACAAGTACAGTAGCAGTAAGTGTATTTTTGTTTTATTGCACTGGTTTTTAAAAAGATATGGATATAAAAGATGAGGCTAGGATTTGACAAAGGAACACTTGACAATGTTGTGGTAAAGAAGCAGAATGGTAATGAAAACAGTAAGGATTCAAATGCAGCACCCAACTTTATTTCAAATATTTAGTTAAAAGCAAAGCTGAAATGGTATAAATTGAAATACAGAGTAGAATGTAATGCGACTGTAATGCATCTGTCTTGTGTTTTGTGTACGTCTTTTATTTTGAAGTCTTGATTTGTAGTCCTTGTCTTGGTCTTTGTGGTTCCCTCTTGTGTCTCGTTACCATTGGTTCATTGTCTTGATTGTATCCTTATTAGTCTGCGCACATATACCCCATTGTTTGCCCTTGTCGGTTATTGTTGTGTTTACAGTTCTCGCCATTGTTTCATGTTCCTGGATTTCCTGTTTCATGTTTGGACAATGTGTTAGAGAGACACAAAGTAAAGGAAAAATCTTGTAATGACACATTTGATTAAAAAAAAAACATGATATAATGCTGATTACTCGTAGTAGATTATTAGATTAAACTAGATGCATGAAAACCCCAAAACCTGAATTTTACACCGAAACCAAGTGAAATACAAACTTAAAATACAGCCTGAGTAATTTGCAATTATCAGGGTTCAAGCTTGTTCAGACAAACATGGAAAAGTTAATGAATTAGAAAGTGGTAAATTACAAATCGGTTATATATTTCAGAGAAGCGCACCCTATTAACAAAAAAGGTTTTTTGTTTTTTTTAAGTGTCGCTCTCTGATTAGTGCCAAACATGACATGCATCATCTGAAGAATTTTGAAAAAGTAGATTTTTTTTGTGGAAAATTCAAAATTATCTTATAGAGCATGTTATCAGGATTCCGAGCAAAAAAGGATTTAGCTTGTAGCCCTTACGAATCCCGATGCAAAGGCTCTTGTAGCACCCCCCAGTGGTTCTCATGGTTTTGCAGGTGGCAGTGGGACTTCAGTTGGAGAATCCGGCTCATCATCCATCTTCAAATCACGACAGAACAACACTGATTCTTCACCGAGACCCAGGTTGTACTGCCACAGATATATACGCTCAGTTGGATTAAGCACAAATGAAAGTTGTTCTTCCACTTCGGTGGCTTCATTCCAGCTTTCTTTGTCGGTGTTCACCTGTGATCCACCGTATTCTGCAGAAAACGAGAACTGCCGCTTCGCGATTAACCCTTCAAGGGCTCCAGATTCAAACGTGACTGACGTGCTGATCTTCCAGTTGTGTGTGATGTCTCTTATCTTCTCCTTATTGTATCCAACCTTTTTAATAACTTTCTTGTGCCAGGTCACTGCTGTTTTGCTATCATTACTTGCACTTTTGATATTCTCCCACCTACCAAATGCTGGGCCTTTAGTTATCGACAGCCCACCAGGCAAGAAGTTAACAACAGAGGGGTGAACAGAATGGGTATCAAAATTGTTGTTTTCCGTTAAGCTGTTGCCTTCATTGTATTCAACTCCCCACTCTGAGACTGGCCTGAGGAGGCAGAAGCTGTTTGACTGGCCCCAGTAATAGAGACCATTGTGCCAATTGGAACGCAGTGCCTTTTCTTCACCATCTGTATCTTTATTAAGGTCAGATGTCTGACGGAAAGTTCCTTTTTCTTGGAAGATGATGTAAAACCAGCCATTGGCTGAGAAGTAGTAGTCCCCACCCCTGCAGTTGTCATCAAGACTCAAAACTACAGCATCACTGTCTGTTGACAGGTCTGTGACCTTGCGAAAGGAGTTACCCTTAATGATGTAAAAGTAGCCACTCAAATCAGCAAGATAATGGTCTCCATTTTGGCAGGAGGGGTGCAGACTGAAAATAGTGATGTCTGAACCTTTATTCAAACTACTTGACTGCATGTAGCAGCCGAGATCAGAGCGGATTATATAACTGTGCTCTTGCCCTCCACAGAAATCAACCCCTTTTATTTGGTTCTTGGGAACAATGCCGCTCATTTTGCCTAAACCTGCAACACAGGATAACACAGACATTTAGCGAGCAGTTCTGATGGGATTCTGTTGTTCTAGTACTCCTATAAAGTGCTATTATATATTATACTCCGCAATCTAAAAACTTTGTTCACTCAACTTGACTCAGTCGGGTCATCTTATTGATGTGACGGAGTTTTTGGGTCTGGAGTTTTAATGTCTGGAGTTACTAGTAATGCAATCATGTACTAATGTATTATACGGCTTTCCTCTGACAACAGCTGCATTTGAACATTATTCAACAGACATCTTCAGCTCACCTGATTTTGTTAATCTCTCTTTATGAAGGCACAGATGTTCTTAGTGAAACACAACTGCAACTGGAGAAAAGAAAACCAATTTAATGAATGTCAAAAGCCAAGAGCCCTTCTACTTCCATATATTCAGACATGTAACTAAATATTCAGATTTACATCTATATATTCACAATTTACATTATATTCAAAATTCACATTTACATATTCAGATTTACTTCTATATATTCAGATATGTAACTGAATATTCAAATTTATTTCCATATATTCACATTTTGCACATTATATATTCCGATTTTACATAATTACTGTATTTCCTGTGTGTGTGTGTGTATGTATATGTGTATATATATATATATATAATATTTATATACTTTATACTTTCTGGTCTTTGAATCTGATTGGCTGATAAGAGTGTTGATATTAGAGTCCAACAGCCATTTCACTGTTTGTATCACTCACGTATTTCTTATAGCGAGTGTCATGGCGGACGCCAAAATCCTCTCTAATTTTAAAAATAATACTGGTTTGTGTCACGGAATGTAGTTTTAAGAGCATTTTAGGCAAGAATGTACTTGTTTGGACTTCAAATATGCGGTTTGTTAATAAAGATAACGTCTATTTGAAATTTTGCTTCGATATTTTCAGAGACGTGAGCTCCAGAGCGTCAGCGGCCGTTCAGCGCTCATGAACCCGCCGAGAGCAGCCTCACCTCGGCCAGATTTTCAGGAATTTACCGTTGGTTCTGATGTCTCTATAGTGATTAAACATGAGTTATAATTCGTTTTGGGTAATTTTAACAGGCAGTCTTTGGTCTCATTAATCTTTGATTTGTTCCAGAGTAAATAGTTTTGGCAAAATCTCATGTTTATGTAAGTTCAATACTATATATAAGAGCGCTGCCTTTGTACTTTTGACTGAATTGCCTAGCAACTTTTGTGATGGCTGTTGTTGTTTATTAAATATTAATATTCAATCAATAATATTTTATATAAATAATAGTAGTGTTTAGTATTGGGAAACGGTGTGTGTGTTTGTGATGGTGATTTTAGTTTCATTGTTCTGCCATTAGATGGCGACAAGAGACTGTTATACAAGTCAGCAGTAAAGACTTTTAAATTGAAAAATACTGAAGTGCAGTTTTGAACAAGGAAGTTATTTTTTCTTTCAAAACCAGCTTGTACACAGCCAACAAATTCACTGAGCAGCACTGTCATCAGAAATCACCCTTAACAGATGAAAGGATAGTACCGGCTGTGTACTGGCAAGAATCTGGCGATACGATACGTATCACAATACAGGGGTTGCAATACGATATATTGCAATAAATACTGTAATACTCACAAATGCTGTTTCTGTCACTTTTTCTCTGGACAAGAAGTGCATTTATTCAGTCGCAGAACGTCTTTACGACCACATCAAACTGGAAACTCCTCAGCGCCAGGCGCGAATCAAACGAGCGTGGAAACGGTACTGTGCTTGTAGCGCATTTTCTTCATTTGCATGCACAAAGGCGCCGGCGCGCACTGTAGACTGCATAATTTCATATCAAAGCATGAAATAAACTACGTGCATGCAATGTTGTGGTCAGTTAAGTCCTGAAGTTACCAAAAAGGTGATTAAAGCTGCCTTAAATGTGACTCGTAACATATTACATGCATGCACAGTTTTAAGAACATGTCTCTGAAATGGTTGTCAAAACTGTCCTGGAGCAGCCCAGCACTGTCTCCCTCATCTAACACACCCGGTTTAACTCGTCAGCTCATTAATAGAGACTTTAAGACCTGAAGTGGGTCAGAAAAGGTAAAGAGAGTTGAGAGAAAATACGATGCGTGTCAGATCCGCGTCACGTTCAGCAGCGGCAGCTCTTAAAGTAATAGCAGCCAAATAACCTAATAACCAGCTGCTGTGATGTCTGTTCATTAAAGAAAAAAAAAGAAAGAAAAAAACAGGAAATCAATAACTTTTATAGCTTTAAGGATTCATCTATATTTAATTTAGAATTTAGTGTTTGACCATTTAAATTTCTGTAGCCTATATTTCTGCTGAAGGGCACAGGTAAATATGATATTTATTATAATGGGTTTATGTGAAGATTGTTTTAAGTTCACTTAAATTAGAAGTTATTTTTTAAAGTCTAATAA